TGCCGATTTTGTTTATCTTTTCAAAAAACAAACTCTTAGTTTTGTTGATATTTTCTATCAAAAACTCTATTTTCCATTTCATTTATTTATGCTGTAATCTTTATTATTTCTTCCTTCTGCTAACTTTGAGCTTAGTTTGTTCTTTTTCTAGATCCTTGAGATGTAAAGTTTAAGAAGATTAAAGTCATTTCAAGCATCCTTTTTGGCCTTGAAATGGAATAAAACTAGAAAGAATAACAAAAGGAAAACGGGAAAACTCACAAACATATGGAAATTAAACAACACACTCTTGAACAACCATTGGTTCAGAGAACAAATCAAAAGGAGAATTAGACAATATCTCAGGACAAATAAAAAGGAAACTATAACATGCCAAAACTTATCGGATATGGCAAAAGCAGTACTAAGAGGGAAGTTTATAGTGATAAACACCTACATTAAAAAAGAAAAAGATCAAATAGACAATATAACTTTATATCCCAAACAAAGGCTCACTAATATAAGTTGCCATCACTCTAATTTTACCATAGACTCTCCATCTTCAGCTAAACCCATCAACAATGGTAGTTGAAAATTTTTCCCCTCTATTCTCTCAACTTCATCCCCATCCACTCACTCTTGGCAAGTGACTAGCCCCTCTAAGTTGCAAGCTCAAGGTCATATGGTATGTATCTCCTCAAATCCACCTTTCTATTTTTCAACGTTTTCTGTATTCTAAATATTCTGTACATTTTCTCTTCTCTTTCAAAGGATGACTTTTTTTCTCCTACCCATGATTAAACTTTTTGGTGCCTTGATCCTTTTCTCTCTCTTACATACTTCAGGATACTTTTATATTAGTTATTTCTTGCTTTTATATCTTAAAATTTTCCCATGTACAATGGCCCCTCCCCTCTGCATACAAATATGGCCAAGCCTTCCATGTCTTATCAAACAGCTCCCTGTGATCCTGCTAACTTCTATTTTTTTTCCTTTTTTCTGCTTTATCTCCCCAACTCCCCCCCCCCCCCCGTACATGGTTGTATATCTTAGTTGCAGGTCCTTCTAGTTGTGGGATGTGGGATGCCGCCTCAACGTGGCCTGACGAGTGGTGCCATGTCCGCACCCCAGGATCCAAACCCTCGGCCGCCACAGCGGAGTGCGCGAATTTAACCACTCGGCCACAGAGCCGGCCCCAATCCTGCTAACTTCTTAAGCAACTTGTTTAGCTTTCTGCTTTCCTACACGCCAAACTTCTTCAAAGAATTGATGACACTACTTACACATATTTACCAGCTACTGATTCTTCAGCTCCTTGCTTTCTGATTTCATCATAGGAGTTCTGTTGAGTTAAAAGGTAACCAATAATCCATTCACCAATACAGTTGACTTGTCACATATTTCATTAGCCTCTATATCTCAAAATATTTAGCTCAATGGTCATTTTTTTAAATTCATATGTGTATGTGCATATGTGTGTGTGTGTGTGTCTGCATGTATGTATGTGTGTTGCTTACTGTGAATCTGGGCACTTTTCTTGGTAGTGGAGACCCATAAGCAAACAAATTTGGTTCCTATTCTCGTCAAGCTTCCAATCAAGTCACTGAAACAGATGTGGTAAAAATGAACACACCAAAAATATTTAAATTCAAATTGTGGTAAGTGTGGTGAACAAAATGGATATTATGGGGAGATTAACAGGTAGGATCTAATTTAGATCATGAAATGCATACCTGAAGGATAAATAGGCAGATAACGAGTAGGGAAAAATAGTTCAGAGAGAAAGAAGAGCAAAGCAAAGGCTCCAAAGTGGGAATGAGGTTAAAATAGTCAAGAGAGACAAAGAAGACCAATGTGGCCGAAACGTGGTCACAGAGGAAAAAGTAGCAAGCAATTAGAGTGAAGTAAGTACAGACAAGATCATACAGCCCTGTTAAGGATTTTGGATTTCATATTAACCGTATGGAAACCCATAGAAGGAATTTAAGCAGAAGAGTAACACTTAATTTGCATTTAGATCAGATTACCTTGACTGTTATTTGCTTAACAGGTTACAGATGGGCAGCATTGGAAACAGGAAGCCCAGTTAATATGCTATTGCATATAGTCTCATTTAAAAATGATAGTGGATTGGATTAGAATGATGGCAGTGGCTATGGAGAGAAGTATGTTGATTCACAATATATTTTGGAAATAAAATCTGGAGAACTTAATATATTTGGAGGTAGGGGAAAGGAGAGAAGACTCCAGATTTCTCCCTTGAGTACATGAAGGCACTGGAGGAGATGCGGAAGAGGGTAGGAGAAGAATTAAGGGAAAAGATCAAAAGTACTGTTTTGTGTATTCTCCTCTTTGAAAATTTCCTTTAGACATTACCTTTCTAAATTTTCTTTCAGTGGTTGTACTTCTTTTTCTTGCCCCTAAATACAAATATATTTGAACGCATTACTTAGACATTCTCTTCTTTCCCTCCCCAATTATCTTTCAACTTCACCAGACCCTAAATTGCAACTCAGTAGATGATTCATTAGTCTTTCTCTCTTAACTCAACCAAACTTGTGATTTGTTTGTTTGTTTGTTTTTGGAGGAAGATCAGCCATGAGCTAACATCTGCCTCCAATCCTCCTCTTTTTGCTGAGGAAGGCTGGCCAGGAGCTAACATCTGTGCCCATCTTCCTCTACTTTATATGTGGGATGCCTGCCACAGAATGGCTTGCCAAGGGGTGCATAAGTCCACACCCGGGATCTGAACCAGCAAACCCCGGGCTGCTGGAGCAGAATATGCGAACTTAGCTGTTGCACCACCGGGCTGGCCTCCAAACTTGTAACTTTTGATTCGCATTTTCAGTTGTTTTCTGAGCACTTCTCTTTGGATTACTCCTTTGTACCTCTAACCCAAGTAAAAATCAAATTCATTTTGTCCGTATCTACTGTGGGTCTTATTTATGTTATTGTCACTACCATCTTTCCAGTCACCTGGACTCGTATTCAACATTGACATCTGCTTTCTCCTTGCTCCTTGCTTCAACTGCTATGGTTTTATCAGTAGAATCTATCGCATCCTAGGTTTCTACCCTGTATATTTCCCAGAATTGGGAGCCCTGATTAGAACTCGAGCCCCCATTATACTTTACCAAGATTAGTTTTCAACTTCCTGGCTTTCTTCCTACCTCCAACATCCCCCCCATTCTATTAACCAGCACATGGACTTTAGAATAATCTTCCTAAATGACAATTGTAATCATTTCACTTGTGTCTAATATCTTCAATGATTCCATTATCTTCAGAGTACTTTCCAAATTCCTTAAAAAATATTAAATACCTCTCATGACCCCAATCTATCTTCTCCAGTGATTCCTAAATAGCTTGAGGTTCTCACCATTCTGAAAATTTGTCCGACATTTTCACAACTCTGTGCTCTTGTTCATGCCATTTGTGCTGCCCTCACCTATTCATATTGAAATACTTCTTTCTTTAAAGCATAAAATGCTTTCTCTCACCTCTCCAACTATAAATAAGTTCTTCTTCCTACATTCCCCAATAGAATATAAGTCTGCAAAGACTGAGAACAGATATTTTTCATCTTATATCCCCAGCTGCACCTAGCATATTGCCTTGAATATAGCAGGAACAGAGTAAGTATTAAATGGAGTTGACAAATTATCTCTCTTTCTGATGAGCCTGTAATGTTCCAAGTCATCTAGACAAATGTAATTATGTGATGAATTTGATCTTAAACATAGTTAATATTGAAATTCATATTTTTTCTGTGAGCTGTTTACAGAAACAAAATTTCTACTTCACTATGGATGGGCCTTTATGGAATTTAATTTAAAGTAGTAATAAATTTTAAAAACTCCTCAAATTTTCAACTGCTATTCAAATTTCCTCATTTTTTTACACCTTCTATTCCTTGGGGAATAAGCAAACAGCAGACTTTCTGGATACATTTAAATGCTGAGATATAATCAAAAAATTTACCTACCAGTTTCTCTATCAACCAAAACAAACACTAAGCTATTTAAACATTAGGTTGATTTTTCTGAATTGAAAGGTTTGCCTTATCTGAAATTTTATGCACGTTAGCAAAATGTGACCATCTCTAAATTTCAAGTAAATTCCGTCAGGCTAAAGTTTGCCTCTGCTCTAACGATCGGATTAAGTCCAATAATATGAAAGAGAAATTGAGAATAGGAATGGTTGCAGTAGATATAAACTATTAAAACAACTGTAACAAAATCCCTACTCATTTTCAACCAAAATTTCCTAGACAATTCCTTAAAAGTAAAAGAAGGAGAAAAGCTGGACCACTATCTGAATAATTGCTTCCATTTGTACTCTTAACCTAGCTAATCTACCTTAAAAAATTCTTTTTCCTAAACAAAAGTTTCTAGTCTTTGATTCTTTAATAGCTGCTTTACTTTTTCTGCGAAGATTGGAAAAATGTCAAAAAACTGAGGACTGATAATGCATACACGTTATTTCAAAACCACTTTTTAAAGAATAATTAAAACTTATGAAGAGATCATTTTATTTTAAATTTCCCCCAAATCGTTTTTGACTCATATACCTAAAAAAGTTATCAAGAATGATATATCTTATCTGGGGATAAAAGTTCAAAACCATTGCTTTATCTTCAACAATAACTGCTTCTAATTGCTACCAGGAAACCTTATAATAATACCAGTACATTATATTATTTAAATTTCATAGCCACTCAGCAAAGTAAGCATCGTTAACCCCATCTCAGAGCTGAGGAAAGTGATAATGACATTAAATAACTTGCCTGGAGCTGTGTAACTAGTAAGTCAGGAAATAGTCAAAGCAGCCCTTTCAAGAGATCAGAGCCTAAGCACAGGATGGTCATACAACACAGTTAACTGGCAGCTGGATATCCCTAGGGCAAAAAAAAGTTGAGGAAACACTCCCTAGTGTCAATGTATAAGAAATAGTATGACCTGTTACGCTTATTTCTAGCTTTGTTTTTAATTTTTTTTTTCTTTTGCATTCTTCTCCTTCAGTTGCTGGAAATCTTTCAGCTGCATTGTCTGTGATGATAGCTGGCTTCTTGCAAATACACAGAAAACACTTCCCTCAAGTGGAACAGCTACTTTCAGGCAAAGTTTTCACCGTTTCCTCCATGCCCTGTTTCCACCTGATTCTTCAGTACATTTTACTTGGAGTGGCTGAAACATTGGTCAGCCCTGCCTGTGAGTAACAATTTTGTCATCTAATATTAGAACGTATTGGGCCTTTACACAGAACATACCACCTCAATGGGAACATTCAAGTGATTGGCAATCTATTTACTCCCTGGAGATTTCCCACAATGCTTCAGCTTCATTTAAAAAAAATTGCCTAATTTCTCTTCATTCTTCTGCCACATACAGAACAACTATTAATTCTGCCTAAATGCAGACAGAATGAAAGATTAACCTGGTTAAGGGAAGTAACCATTTGTTCATATACACTACAGGAGGCAAGACCTCTGCTAAAACCTAGAAGACAACTCCAATATAGATGAAAACTCTCATCTTCTCTCCTACGTTCTCTCTTCCCACCTCCCTCCCTCTCACTCATAGGTAAACTCACATGTACACTCCCTCCAAAAATAAATTTAATGTACTTTGAGAGTGTATAAACATGTAAATGAAATGAAATTTTCAGCCAATTTTCCAGATAACTCAATGTCTTTAAATTAAACTACACTACATTGTGTGATCACTAGTGTTTCATAAGACAGCTTCAAAATAACTTTACCAAATATCAAATATTTTCTGGATTATCTAGATTGCTTATATTAATTAAAGCAGCTACTTTAAAATTCATCAAAATTTTTCCGTGACTTTTTGCAATACAGTAATGTGTGTGTGTGTGTGTGTATCAGTATAATCTATTACATCTTCTATTTCTACCTTCCTTATATTTCCCTGCACTGGGAGCCCTGAGTGTAACTCAAGCTCTAATTACACTTTACCAAGATTATTTTTATAACTTCCTAACTACCTCCAATATCTCCCTCATTCTGTCTACTGAGCACACAACCTTTAGAGTAATCATCCTAAATGACAACTATAATCTTTTCACTTGTATCTAAAATCTTAAATTATTCTATTATCTTCACAATTTCCAAATTCCTGAAATATATATATTTAATAAAGATATATGTACATATATATATATACATATATAATACCAAAGTAAATCACAGAAAAAAGTCAAAATAAAATTAATAAAGTTTGTGTAACTATAGTCATATATGTATGTGTTAGACTTGTTTTTTTAATCATTTTAAATCACTTCATTCCTTATATTTTGCATAATTAAATTATTTTTTGAGATTCTAAGATGTGTTTCTCGAAGTGTATCACTGTTTAACACTGTAAGGAATAGAAAATAAGTATAAAAGAATGCGACTACACAAACATTTGTGACTTCCATAATGTTGTTTCCAGAAAATTGTTAGAAGTAGTCAGCCAAAATTTTCTGGGCTAGATGTGAAGAAAGGTAATGAGTGAAGGTGATGAATGAATACAGCCAGGAACTTCCTGGCCAGCTTAGCAATAGTGGTTCAGAATACAAAAGTCAGAGAGTTACTCACAACTGCAGACTGTTAAATAGGCAGATCATGTAATGTAAATCACTGAGTCCAACCCTCCTTGATTTACCCATCAAGAAGCTGAAGTCCAATGAAGTCGATTGACTTACTCACTATATACATCATGGGGTAAGGACCAGAAGACTCTGTTTTGATTTCCAGCTTTGTCACTTACTACCTGTGTGATCTGAGAATTCATTTAACCTCTAAGTTTCACTTTTCTCATCTTTCAAATGAAAATAATTATAATTCTTCCCTATATCACAGCATCAGTGTAAGAATCAATGGAAATGGGAGACTACTTCTTGAGAATCAACTGACATCAAATGTGAAAGCGTGTTTTGAACTGTAAAATCAAGAATTACTCCTCTGGGAGGCCGTGCAGCATAGTGGTTAATATCCATGGTCTTAAAGTCAGACAGATGTGAGTTCAAACTCAGTTCTGCCACAGACAAGCTATGTGAACTTGGGAAAATTATTCTGCATTTCTGAGCCTTTCTTGTCAACTATAAAATGGGGAAGAGTTGTTGTATGGACTAAATGTAATATTTTATGTAAAGGAAAAAGCAGATTGTCTAATATAGAGAGAGCACTCAATAATGAGCAGGTATAATGTGTGCTGTTGTTATTATTTCTGTTATCATCTTTCACATGAATTAACAGTACCAGACTCAGGGCTCAAGCACAGATGTCCTGCTCACAGCTTTTTCTACCACACTTGCCACAACCTAAACACCAGGACACCTGGTAGTGTGGGCAGAATAAGTCATCCTCGATCCCGTTTTCCCCTTACTTCTCACCTTCAATCCAGAAGCAAATCTAATCAATACTCTGAAATGTAATCTCAATCTGGTCGTGTCTCACCATCTCCTTTGTGGTCCACCTCATCTGCGTCACCATTGCCTCTACCTCCAATTCTCTGAGGGCCTCCTAACTTGTCTCCCTGCTTCCTTTCCTGCCCCCTGAGTCTATTCCTTTCAAAACAGCTATCATGCTCTTCCCAAAATGTAAGTCCTATTCCCCTGCTTAAAATTACATAATAAGATTTTGGAGACAAATTCCTTAAATGGTAACTAAGACTCCACGTGATTTGGCCTCTGTGTACTGCTCCAACTACATTTTGTAACATTCTTTCCCTTGAACACTTCACTAGAAATTTGATGATCTTCATCTTGTGTTTTTAAGCTGTCAAATTTATCTCTGCCCCATGGGCTTTGTACTTGCTTTTCTCTGTCCGGAATCCCCTTTCCTCTGTTTTCAAGTGGCTGGCTTCTCATTATTGAGTTTTCTCAAAGACCATCTCTTCAGAGAAGCCTCCTTGGTCATCCTATTACTTTCCAGTTCATAGCCCTATTCTATTTTTTTTAATAACACTTGTCAGAATCTGAAATTATCTTATTTATATGTGTATGTTTACTGCCTGCCTCTCGCTATGAGAATGTATAGTCTTGAAGTCAAGATTCTTATCCTTTTTGCTCATCCGTGTGTTCTTCTATGTTCCTCCTTCCTGAAAAGTGAATGTACAGGGTAGGTGACCAATAAATATATTTTGATCGAATAAACAAATGAACAAATGACCTTTACAGCTATTTCTATGCAAGCACAATAAAAATAAATTATTCAAATTACTGACAATATCTTACAGTGATGGCATTAAGGAAGGAAGGACAGTGGATCACTCCCCAGATTTCATTGGAAATTTTTTACCTTACCAAGTCACGTCATACTTTGGAGATGATCTACAAGAAAAAAAAAACATAGAAAACTTTTCAAATTATGTCTTAATTATAAAAATGTGTACCCCAGCTATATCATAACCTGTGTTTATTTATCCAAAAAATACTGTGTGGGTGTCTACAATGTGCCTTATTCTGCTCTAGGAGCTTAAGACACCTCAGTAAGAAAAAAAAAAAAGAGAGGCAAATTTATGCCATTTTAGAACTCACATTCTATCAAGGGAGAAAGATAATAAACAACAAATGTAATAAATAATTAAATGATAGAACATGCTAGAAGGTGATGAGTGCTATAAAAAAAGAAAAGATGGAGCAGGATAAGGGAGATCAGGAATGCCAAGCATAGGAGGGAGCACGTTGCAGCATTAAGAGACTGGTTAGGAGAGGAGTCACTCACTCAATGAGAAGTGACATTTGAACAAAGACTTGAAAGAGTTAAGGGAGTCAGCCACATGGATATCTGAAAAGAACATCATGGTTGGCAGAGGAATCAGTAAATGCAAAGATGGGAGTGTGCCTGGCAAGAAAGTGCAAGGGGGTCTTGTGCGGTTGGTAGATAGTGAGGAAGGAAGATATGAGTAAGAGATGAGTCAGAGTGGCCATTGTAAAGACTCTAACTTGGGCTCTGAATGAAATGGGAAAAGGAGTGACATAATATTACTTCCGGTTTTAAAGAACCCCTCTCTCTACTGTGGAGAATGTACCATAGTGAGGAAAAGGATAGATGAATTGAGACAGTAATCCAGGGAAGACAAATATTTCCAACCAGGGAGGCAGTAGTATAGGTTGTGAGAAGTGATCAAAGTTTAGTTATATTTTGAAGACAGAAAAATAGGGTATGAGAGAAAGAGAGCAGTTAAGAATGCCATCAAAGTTTATGGCCTGAGAAACTGGAAGAATGGAGATGCCATCTAACGAGAGATAAAAGGCTACAGGTGAAGCAAGCTTTGGGGAGAATGGTAAGAGTTTATTTTTGAACATGTTGAAACTGAGATGTCAAATAAAGATATCAAATAGGCAATTAGATATCGAAGTCTGGAATTTGTTAATGAGATACGGGATAGATGCAAATTTCAGAGTCATAAGTTTATCAGTGGTATTTAAAGTGATAGAACTTGTTGAGATCATCAAGGTAGTAGTGTGGACAAAGAGCCAGTGTAGAAAGAGAAGAGGATTCAAGAACTGAGTCCTGAAGCACTCCATCATTAAGTCATCAAGAAAAAAAGATAAATCCAAAAGGAGATAGAAAAGAAGTGACTAGTGAGAAAAGGAGCAAACCAAGAAAGCAATACCTTAGAAGTCAAATGAAAAGAAAGTATCAAGGAGGAGGCAGTGATGAACTGTGCCAAATGCTGCTGATAGATCAAATAAGATGAGGACTGAGAATTGACAATTGGATGAAGCCATGGTTAGCTGTGATTTCGACAAGAGCTTTTTCATGTGGGGCAAGGGAATGCACAAAACCTGATTGGAATAAGTTTAAGGGATAAAGGGAAGAGAAAAATTGGAGCAGTAGCTAACAAAGGAATGGGGTTAAGAGCAGGTTTTTTATTTGTGTTTCTTCGTTTTTAAAGAAGGAAAAATAACAGCATAATATAGTATGTTAGTGAGAATGATTCAAGAGAGAGAGAAAATTGATGGCATCAGGGAGGGGAGAATACTGGAGGGAGAGGGATTGAGATCTGATTTACAAGTTGGGGGTTTGGCTTTAGATAGTGGCAAGGCTGGTTCATCAATAGTAACAGTTTGGAAGGCAGAGTATGTAGGTGCAGAAAATTATGGTGCATAAATATGGTGTGGAGATTCTGTGGAAATTCTCTTCGATTTTTTCAGTGAGGTAGGAAGCCAGACCATGAGCTGTGAGTAAGAGTGGAAG